CCAAGCATAATTGGACACTACACAGAATGGCTTCTCCCATAAATTTCTGCTTTCTTTGCATACTTGAAAAGGCAAAATTAAGGACAGGAAGTTGAAGTGACATGTTAATTACTATTATCATAATTGAGAGCAGCAGAGAAACATTTCCTAAGGCGTTATTTCTGTTAACCATCATTTTCTCCAAATATTCATCTCTTAATTCGTTTATTAGATTTAATTTTGTATTTTTCGTGAATGTAAAAGCGAGAGAATAAATTATATATATAAGAGCAGAGAAGATCTTAAACAATATAGGATCGCTTTTGTATGCGTCATACCATCCAGCGCAAATTGAGTATTTATCTAAAGCCGGAATGGCTTGACATGTCATTACCATTGCAAATTCCCATAAAGACAATTCAATTAATCGAATATATCGATTTTTGAATTTTACACTTTCAAATATTCCATTTGCTTTTTCGCAGTTGCAGGTATTAAATGGATCCAAGCCAAAGACGAGGGCGATTTTCGTACAGGGGCTAAGAAAACAATTCATACAAATCCCTTTTTGTCTAAACGAGCTCATCTCTGTTTTATATAAAGTGGAATTAACTTAATACAGTTCTAATATAGAAGTAAGTGTTTATGTATGCACTTTACTGCTCTAGCATAGATAATATTCTAATAATTCATAGTTCCATTAAGATACTTCAAAGTTGTGCACACATCCAATATGAATTTTCAGAAAAATTTGAATAATCTTACAGGCTTAATTGCCTAAGTAAATATGTAAGTAATAAATCAATAGTGTAGTATGAAGTTAAAAGCACAAAAACATAGCATGATTATTCTTTGGAATAAAATAAGTTTATTGTTGAACAAATGATGCTTGCTCATATATAATATTTTTAATGCATTCTCTTATAAAGGTACACTTTGTTATTAAATGAATACGTTTGTAAATTTATTATATAAGTGTCTTTTTTTTAAATTCTTTTCTCCTTGCGAGCACTAAGAGGGCTTCTTTTTAGCAAGCCCATTATGGATTCTGCCAGGCCCACAATGAGGCAGCAGGGTGGTGAGGGACAGGACCCGACATATCTAGATGGACTACCCCCGAAAAATTCCTGGGAATTTTTTGACCCGTTCGGATTCGATCCCGGTTTCCCTCCAGAGCGATAGTCTGCCATTCGGCCTATTTATAAATATCTACTAGGACGTATCGTATTATTAGGACTTATTGTATTGCCTGGTATTTTACCAGGTGAAATACCAAGTGAACAATAAAGATTGTTTCTTTCTGAATAAGTTTTCCTTAATTTGCAGAAACAGAACACCAGTACAATAAGTCCTAATAATACGATATGTCCTAGTAGACATTTATATAATCATTATCATCATCAATCGTCAATACATATCACAAAGGTAAGTGTACAATGTGCGTGCCGCTAAAACTCAAAAACGAGTCTCGGTACGATCGAGGGAGTTATATGGTGTGGTAGCCCTCTATCCTCCATCCATGAAGAAGGTTCCCGTTTTTACCTGAAGGGCGTGCTGTTGAAGATATAAGGGCTGGAAATTTCGCCCTCTAGAAATTTCTAGAACAGTCCAGAACATTTGAGAATAATCGAGAGCATTTTACAACATTGCAGAATGTTCCAGGGTGTTCTGGAACGTTCGGGAACACTCCGGAACATCCCAGATCATTGTGGAACATTCCAGAACACTCTCGAATGTTGTGGAGTGTTCTGGAACATTGTGGACCATTTGAAGCCTTAACAATCCTTTATTAGCAAATTAACAGTACTGGAACTATGCATTGCAAACGTTCCAACTTTGGTTCATGAAATATACGAATTCACAGATAAGTAAAACAGGAATATAGAAGATCACAACAACAGCTTGACCTAGAAGGGTAGGAAGGTCTTCTAGTTTTATGGGAGTTCGAAGTTTACTCTCTGCATTCTTTCCTACGTGTTGTAAGCGAAGATTGATCTTAAAGAATATATTAAATGCCCGTCCTAGGTGTGTAGTGGAAGTTTGATCTTCTTCGTTTGGAAGCGGTGGCAAAATCAAAGGCATCAAGTACTCCAAGTAACGAGAGGCAAAAACGATGTTTCCTTCGACAGATTTTACGGCAAGTTCGAGAACAGAACTGATGTAACAGCGTATGTTCAATATCGAGCGGTAGTCTAACGAGTAGGAGGAGACTATACTAGTCTTTATGTCGCTAGGGTTTCGTAGAATAATCGGAAAGTATTCTTCTAGACTTTGTAGACACACGGCAGCCACTCCGTCGAGTTTAAATACCAAAGATCCAAGTTTTTGTAGATATTGCTTCATTCTTTCATAGGCTTCCTTTATGATCACACCGAGAACATCAAAGATTTTAGAAAGGTATTCTCTCTTTCGAATTTCTTCGAAGTAATCCTTCACGAATTCCCAGGAACACTTCACTGAAGGTATTTTCATTACTTGATTAAAATACTGAGACTCTATAACTTTACTTTCGCTCATTGCTTTCTTCTATTTGGATATTTCTTTCACTCTATGTCGACATTTTTCAATAAAATGTCACTCTTATATTTTAAAGTTTATCCTTTTATTCCAACTACCACACAATCTCATATGAACTCCCTGAACGAAACTGGGTACCCCACCTAATAAGGACACAAAGCCATATGAATTAATACGTTTGTAAATTAGTTATGTTTAATAAAATCCTGGCCAATCTTAAATATGTCGGGTACCATTTCACCTTCCGGCCTCTTTCATTGTCCGTCCGATCAAACTCACCATAGGTATGAAAACAGGGCTTATTAGTGCCCACGTGACGGTACTTTTTTGCTTCGACATCTGGTTTACCATCAATTAGGAAACATTAATAAAATAAATGATGCTTTTAAGACTGCGTGCACCAAATATTTCCTCGAATATTATACAAAGTGGCTTTTTCAAAATTCAATCAATGAATGCCAAACATTGCAGAGTCATCTTAATATGTTTACCTGGTTTTTGTTAACTAGGTAAACATATTAAGATGACAAAGTATGGTAACTGTACATTAATTTGTGTTTAATCTAAACATTACAGATTTAATCGGCTAAAGCACACTTTTGAAGTGTACTTTTTATGTTGAAAACCCGATTTTCATCGTTTTGAAATATTTTAAAATTATTTGAACTTATTAATCTCTGTCCTACTTGCAAAATTCTATATTTCCTTTTAATACACTAGCATTATTTCAAAGAACGTAGAATCGATGCAAATTGAAATTTAATTAGATTCGCTTGTGCAAATGCTACTCTTTCTATTTTTGAATTAATTAATTCAGAATTATCTTAAATATCATTTAGTAAAGTAAACCAATTTATATGACAGTTTGTCTAGGTAATAAAGGACAAATTCAGATAAATATTTATAATTTTTAATACTGTGACGCTATTATTCAACACGCATTTAAATTTATAATACTGTATATTCATTTTTTTCAATACTCAATCAAGACAGATTCATATACTAACCTCATTATATGCTGCATTTATTAATTAATTTTTTCATGCTAAATCAATGAATTTTTAATTAATTTGAATATATTAAAAAATTTCCAACAAAGACATGAAAACATTACACTTTTGTATTATCGATTTAAATTGATTTGGGTATGCGAAAGTAAATTTATTATTCATATTATGAAGTAACGCCTTTTTACGAGTGTTGTACATGTAAACATCTAGCAGCAGGTTCATAAATTATGCATAATACACCTTTCGTAAATTTTGAATAGATTTATACACGTTTTGCGATAACAGTATAAATCAGTATTTAATTTCTCTTTCCCTACGGCCCACGAAGTTCCACGAGTAGCCGAGTCGATAAAACTATAAAATTCTAGTAGTTGGTCGTGGATTTGTGTTGGCCGCGTGTTTTCTTAAACATCTCTAACACATAAATAGAAGCAGAAAGTTTTCTCGGAAGGCACATGTTTCATCGTATTACTCCATTAGTTCAACGAATTCTTGACGTGTTCCCTTTGCGGGTTGGACCCCATTTAACAAANTATTATGAAGTAACGCCTTTTTACGAGTGTTGTACATGTAAACAGCTAGCAGCAGGTTCATAAATTATGAATAATACACCTTTCGTAAATTTTAAATAGATTTATACACGTTTTGCGATAACAGTATAAATCCGTATCTAATTTCTCTTTCCCTACGGCCCACGAGGTTCCACGAGTAACCGAGTCGATAAAACTACAAAATTCTAGTAGTTGGTCCCGTGTTTTTTTAAACATCTCTAACACATAAATAGAAGCAGAAAGTTTTCTCGGAAGGCACATGTTTCATCGTCTTACTCCATCAGTTCAACGAATTCTTGACGTGTTCCCTTTGCGGGTTGGACCCCATTTAACAAATAAACCATCCGGCCTTCGCTTGAATTCGATTGATTTGATAGTTTATAGCAACGTATGCATGAGAGATCTGCCAAGGGAGAGTGTGTTTAGAGAAAACTGTTTATGGAAAAGAGGCCCCTATTTAAATGCTAGGCACATAAAATAAACTGAGGAAAACTCAATACATTCAGTTTGGTGAGGCTCGAATCAACCATCAATGCAAGTGTTATCTGTGGTTTTATCCATTCGGCCACTTTCGGGCAGAGAATAATCGAATCTCTTAACAAGATTAATGAGCATAGCGTTAGAATACCAAATACTGTATTTGTTGCAAATGCAGTTTTCCTTATTTCTGACGGGTTTAATCAGTTCATAATGGGTTCAGAAAGCATGACATAATCGGGACATATCCCTTTAAAATGTTTTTTTGTTCTTTTTCCGGATTTGATTACGAGTCCGCGGAACGAAAAAACAAAAAAAAATAATTATCACGAATCAAATAATCTCAGCAAATATTTTTTAAATATTAATTTTATTTGTAGTATGAGAAGAATTTAATTTTTAAAAAATCTGTTAAATTGACTGAAAAATTCGTATTTGTTCCGTCCGAATAAATTGACTCGAAAATCTCGAGGCGCCATCTGGTGCTGATATTTAAAAAGATTTAAAATGGCGGATATAACAAATTTAGATTTGTATAACTTATTAGGAATTGATTTGACAGCCACAGAAAAAGAGGCAGGTCTTTTATAAAATCTTTTCTAGAACAAAGTTAAATGTGTATTGGTCAGTTTTATGAAATTTCACAGAATCAAATAGACCCCACAATTGCCATAAATAATTGGGCAATATTTTTAAAAATAATTATAAATTTGGCCTCAGAAGTATATTCAAAAAACGTTTATAGAACGTCACGCTGTTGCTGAGTGACGAAAAATTCGTCAGTTTCACGTGATATTGACGAGATTTTAAACACGTGCATATCCACGTGCAGAAATCCTTTTAAATTATTTACTAGAAATTAAACTAATTTATGCGGATTTTAGTGTGGCTTTATCACGTGATGTTGTGTTTATCTGATTTTTGTGTGTTGATTCAATGGCTCAATTTAAGCTCTGAATGAGACGGTTGGGACTATATCAGAGCTGTAGAGCAGTGTTTTTGAACTTGAGGGTCGCGACCCTTAGGGGGTCGCAAAGCCTTATACGGGGGGTCGCGGGTTAAAGAAAAAGACAAGTGTTTGTAGGTCCTACACTACAATAAAAAAAATACAGTTTCAGTGAGAAGGCTGTACCTGTTTATTTTACAGTACAATTGGTTTTTCGATCGATATTTAGGTCTCAACAGAAAGAAAATTAAATATAAAGTTTTTAAAATCACTGATATAGTTTTAATATGGCCCTGGGGGTGTCACCAGAAGTTTTTAACTTGTAAAGGGGTCGCATATTCAAGAAGGTTGAAAAACACTGCTGTAGAGCATACCCGTAGGAGCAGAAAAATCAAAGGAACCATATCTCTATGAGCAACCCTTTGTGAATTACAGCCCTCCAAAATTGGTTGCATGAGATTGCGAGTCGAGTTGCTCTACTAAGATTATCATGTTTAACTATTTAGCCCATGCGACTATGCCTGCTTCAAGTAACCCACTTGACTGTTCGTGGAGTACTTGATGTTATATAGTTTTAGGGGATGTAGTGACTAGCCCCCAACCATGCACTGAGGTTAGATAAGTATGCTAATACATATTAAAACCTGACCTTTGGAGGCAAATATCTTGTGAAGGGTGGCATGTACAGGTATGGTCTTTTATAAAATCTTTGACTTTTTTGCTCGTATAGGAGGTTACAATTCTAGGGGGATGTGAAACCCCTCGTTCGNATATATAATTATAATAAAGTTACAATAAATTAAGTTAATATATAATTATATATACAGTACCTAATTTATATATAATTAATATATAATTATATGTACAGTACTTAATTTATATATAATACTGTACTGACGATAGCAAACTCAATTTAGCTGCTCTGTAGCGTGGCACAGGGCGGAGGAAAGTAGTTCGGCTGCTCATCCACTATTGGTCAAGATTCTATCAATCTTGTCGCGAAACGAGTCGGCGACGATGTTTTAGGAGCTCCTTTATACGAATGTTGTACAATTTTTTCGCTACGTTATAGGAATGCACGTTATAGGGGGGTCAACTGTAGTTTTTAAAATCACTGATATAGTTTTAATATGACCCTGGGGGTGTCACCAGAAATTTTTAACTTGTAAAGGGGTTGCATATTCAAGAAGGTTGAAAAACACTGCTGTAGAGCATACCCATAGGAGCAGAAAAGTCAAAGGAACCATACGTCTATGAGCAACCCTTTGTGAATTACAGCCCTCCAAAATTGGTTGCATGAGATTGTGAGTCGAGTTGCTCTACTAAGATTATCATGTTTAACCATTTAGCCCATGCGACTATGCCTGCTTCAAGTAACCCACTTGACTGTTCATGGAGTACTTGATGTTATATAGTTTTAGAGGATGTAGTGACTAGCCTCCAACCATGCACTGAGGTTAGATAAGTATGCTAATACATATTAAAAACTGACCTTTGGAGGCAAATATCTTGTGAAGGGTGGCATGTACAGGTATGGTCTTTTATAAAATCTTTGACTTTGACTTTTCCTTTGACTTTTTTGCTCGTTTAGGAGGTTACAATTTTAGGGGGATGTGAAACCCCTCGTTCGGAGTTTGAATCTTACCCAATAAATACACCTAACAAAGAGCCTTAATTAAATTCCAGTGAGATTTAATTTGAAATAAAACTTTTGCACTAATGTTTTTGATCTACAAATGACGATCATCAAGTCTGTATGTTTGATGATATTGAATATCATTGGATATATGAACCTGAAGATCTGCATTTGTAGATCGAAAGCATTAGTCCAAAAGTTTTATTTCAAGTTAAATCTCACTGGAATTCAATTTAACCTCTTTTTTAGATGTGTTTATTAGTAATTCTGGGTATATGTGAGTAAATAACTTCATGTTGATAATGTACATTATTTCATATTATTAATATGTTATATAACATTATGTAATGTTATATAATTGCACTTACATTAGAATTTGAGTTATGGCAATGATTGAGACAGATGCTACTTTTCTTTTTCACAAATGATTCGCTCAATAAAAAAGAAAACAAAACAAAACAAAAGTATAGAGTTTGAATTTACAATTNATTCAAAAAACGTTTATAGAACGTCACGCTGTTGCTGAGTGACGAAAAATTCGTCAGTTTCACGTGATATTGACGAGATTTTAAACACATGCATATCCACGTGCAGAAATCCTTTTAAGTTATTTACTAGAAATTAAACTAATTTATGCGAATTTTCGTGTGGCTTTATCACGTGATGTTGTGTTTATCTGATTTTTGTGTGTTGATTCAATGGCTCAATTTAAGCTCTGAATGAGACGGTTGGGACTATATCAGAGCTGTAGAGCAGTGTTTTTGAACTTGAGGGTCGCGACCCTTAGGGGGTCGCAAAGCCTTATACGGGGGGTCGCGGGTTAAAGAAAAAGACAAGTGTTTGTAGGTCCTACACTACAATAAAAAAAATACAGTTTCAGTGAGAAGGCTGTACCTGTTTATTTTACAGTACAATTGGTTTTTCGATCGATATTTAGGTCTCAACAGAAAGAAAATTAAATATAAAGTTTTTAAAATCACTGATATAGTTTTAATATGGCCCTGGGGGTGTCACCAGAAGTTTTTAACTTGTAAAGGGGTCGCATATTCAAGAAGGTTGAAAAACACTGCTGTAGAGCATACCCGTAGGAGCAGAAAAATCAAAGGAACCATATCTCTATGAGCAACCCTTTGTGAATTACAGCCCTCCAAAATTGGTTGCATGAGATTGCGAGTCGAGTTGCTCTACTAAGATTATCATGTTTAACTATTTAGCCCATGCGACTATGCCTGCTTCAAGTAACCCACTTGACTGTTCGTGGAGTACTTGATGTTATATAGTTTTAGGGGATGTAGTGACTAGCCCCCAACCATGCACTGAGGTTAGATAAGTATGCTAATACATATTAAAACCTGACCTTTGGAGGCAAATATCTTGTGAAGGGTGGCATGTACAGGTATGGTCTTTTATAAAATCTTTGACTTTTTTGCTCGTATAGGAGGTTACAATTCTAGGGGGATGTGAAACCCCTCGTTCGGAGTTTGAATCTTACCCAATAAATACACCTAACAAAGAGCCTTAATTAAATTCCAGTGAAATTTAATTTGAAATAAAACTTTTGGACTAATGCTTTTGATCTACAAACGACGATCATCAAGTCTGTATGTTTGATGATCGTCATAATTCTTTCTGAGCATTTTTATTACTCTCTCGTAAAGAAGGAAACACTAATTTTAAGATATTATTCAAGTTCTTTGCATTTTTAGAAATTATTCACCATTGTGGGAAGTAACTTATGTAAATTTTAAGGGAGTGTTAGTGTCACTTAGTAGAGGTAGTCTTATGTCCATGTATATGTCTGGCAATGGTAGCAATATTTGTGACAATAAAAGCAAATTGCACTTACATTAGAATTTGAGTTATGGCAATGATTGAGCCAGATGCTACTTTTCTTTTTCACAAATGATTTGCTCAATAAAAAAGAAAACAAAACAAAAAATGAAAGTATAGAGTTTGAATTTACAATTTATTGGAAAGTGTCAAAGACATGTTTATATTTTTATCTATTATAAATAGAATATTTTCTCATAAACTTTGAAAATTTCTCCAAATTGGTCCATATGAAATTTGAGTTACTCAACTTTGATAGTAATAAATATGACAGATTCTTTTTTTTATAAATTACAGAATTTATGGCTATTTATTTTATTTGGTAAGTTTCTAACATTAATATCTTTTCAGATTAAAAGTGCATATAGGAAGAAAGCTCTTTCTTGCCATCCAGATAAAAATCCTGACAATCCAAAAGCTGGTAAGTGATTTAATTAAATTAATATTTAGAATATTAATTTAATTTAGAATAATTTAGAATATTCTGGAAGAAAAGAATCAGCCCTGAGTGGGACTCAAACCTGCAAACTCTAGTGACAAATTGTTTAGTAATTAATTAAATATAATTGCGGAAAAGTAGGCCGATGTAATCTGGTGGCTGTTTGGCTTTACAAATTTATCAGGTTTCATGATGTTTGTTCTGGTAACTTGATATATTTATTACTAGCAGGTAAGCCCTGCATTGTCCAGGCAAAAAATAAGTATAAACACTGAGATTATTTCGTACTTCTAACCCTTCTATTATATATTCAGTCACTGTATCACTTTGACTACTCACACTTCACTGTTTGTTTTTATTCACTCACTGCACTACTTTGGAATTTTCATGACGTTCGAACCCACGACGGATCTTGCTTTATATACCTCCACCAATGGGTAGTCCCACCCATACAAAAAAGGCTTTGAATAGTCCACAATGTTCCAGAACATTCCACAAGATTCGAAAGTGTTCTGGAATGTTCCACAATGATCTGGGATGTTCCAGGATGTTCCCGAACATTCTGCAATGTTGTGGAATGTTCTGGAATACTCTCAAATGTTCTGGACTGTTCTAGAAATTTCTAGAGAGCGAAACTTCCAGCCCTTATATCTTCAACAGCACATCCTTCAGGTAAAAATGGGAACCTCCTTCATGGATGGGGGATAGAGGGCTACCACACCATATAACTCCCTTGATCGTACCGGGACTTGTTTTTGAGTTTTAGCGGCACACACATTGTACACTTACCTTTATAATATATATTGATGATTATAATTTATCAATAAGCATTTTATACATTATCTTTATTACAATGAACACTTTCCAGTATGCATCAAACAGTTCATTGGCTAAGCACACCATATAACTCCCTTGATCGTACCGGGACTTGTTTTTGAGTTTTAGCGGCATGCACATTATAATATAATATAACCTTTATAATATATATTGATGATTATAATTTATCAATAAGCATTTTATACATTATCTTTATTACAATGAACACTTTCCAGTATGCATCAAACAGTTCACTGGCTAAGCACAATGTATGAAAATGAATATTCACTAAAGGATTTGTTGATGCAGTGACTGATGCATATCACACTTGTTGAGCCATGGATATGGTGAGCTCTGATGAAGGAATATGACCATCTCCATGGTTATATTATTAACACCAGTTTTACCACTCAACTGTATTAACCCAAAATTATTTTGATAAAATAAATCTGCAAATGTCAATATATAGATTTGTATGTTTCTGCCATCTTGCAGATTGTCAAACATTTCAGTGAAGCTTGTTAATTGTTCATCTGTTGGGGTTGAGACTGATGCATATTGGACTGTACCTATTGTTCTCTTCCCTAATAATAAATCCAATTCAATGAATCGGTAACATCTAGATTTGAACTTATAATATTGACTATACTGAGAATAAAATTTATAATACTGAGAATAAAACTTATAATCTGACAAACTAAGAACAATTCTTAATAAAATATGTCAACAGGTTTGTTGTCTTAAGTGTGCCAACATGTTTTATCAGGATTTTTACAATTTATTTATTCATGGATAATAGGCATGTTAAGATGTTATTCATAAGACCGATGCACATATGGCATGTAAAGAAAAATGGCAAGTTTGCAGTAGTAATTATTATATATTGATATTACAGAACTAGTTAGTATTTTGGTGAAAGTAGCTGCCTGTCCGTCTTTTGGAGCATTATCACTACTTCTGACAGTCACTAGTAATGTCAATCTGTAGTACATGATCTGATATTTTGATATAATACATTTTAATGTGGTGAAAAATTTGAAAGCAAATATAGAAAACTTAGAGTTTGTAAACACCTATTAATTCCTTAAATTATTTCCTTTTCTTATTAAAATAATTTAAATGTACAGCATTTAAATGAACATGGCAATTATTATCATCCATTTTGAATATCTTCATCACACTCATAATAAAAGAAAATGCGATTTACCATATGTTTGGCTTTTTTCTTTCTGTACCACATGTACCTTCTTTTTATTTGCAAGATTGTGGATTCAGTTTTCACTTTGGGATAATGTTTGTATTTGAATTTTTTTTGTAAATATTTTAAATTAAAAAACAGATGGATTTAAACCACTTTCATTTGCAATGGCTCAAATATAGAATGTTACAAGATATTAGAGCAAAATTACACAAAAGTCTTAAAGATTTCTGGGTCTGCAGAATTATTCTCAGTGGAATATAATCTGAAAATAAAGAAACTGGCTTAGTGGGGTGTTGAATATTATATGAACTGTCAACATTTTTGTTTTTATTGCTTTGGCTTTATTTACCAAATTGTAACTTCAAGTTATATTGATGCAAAAATTGTTATTAATAGTATAAGCAGTCATTGCAAAATCAGTTTTTGCACAAAATATTGCATTTGTTAATATATTTTTTGATACCTCAAAAATAAATAAAAAAAACCAGAAAATTCCACATTTTAGCATGTTGGTGAGGTGTGAACCTGCGACTAACTACACTGTAGCAAAATCCCAGTTTGTGTTAGGCATAGAACAAAAGTGCATGTAATTCTTGTGTGCTATAAATTAGAGAGATTAACTTATATACTTTGAATAAAAATTTGAATGTTCTTACTGATAAAAACATAAAATTTACCAATGTTCTTTGAATCTGTTTAAAAAAGTTGTTCAAAAAATTATCCATTGAGAGTTTGGCTGAACCCACAGAGATGGCCAGGTTATTGGGTAGAGTCTAAAGGATCCAAGACAGACCCTGAAAAAATTTCTTTGCTTTTTAACCAATCGGATTCAATCTTGCAGCATAGGCTGATACCATAGCTGCCTTGACCATATGGCCATTCCAATAAATCAGTTGAACTAAATAAGTGATCAGTCACTATTCACAGTGTATATGCTTATTTAAATTCTGGTTCGTACATATGACATTTGGTCAAGTAGTCTAATTTTGACAAGCCAAGTAGATAAAGCCACAGAATTCTACTAGTTGGACATGTCTACACCTCCCCAATGGGCTGGCACATGGAGTTTTCCATGTGCCAGACCATTGGTGATATGTGAACTGGGTTTTCTTCAAACACCCAAATAGGGGCCAATTTCCTATAGAAAGTCTTCCCAAGAGGAACTCTCCTTGGCAAATCATCCAAGTGTTGCATTACTTTATCCCATCAATCCTATATCCTATTACTTTCCAGCTCTGTTATATATAACAGAGGAAAAGTATGGCAATTAATTTTTATATTTTTGGGCTTGGGATCTTGAAACATGAAGAAATGAAAAAAATATGAGGTTTTTTTTTTTTCCTGTAGGTATTGATGTTAGGGTGTGGAGGCATGATTTTGTTCACCCTCTTTCAAGCTTAATAACTTCTGTGCTTTTTGTTGAAAATTTCTGAAATTTTGCAGGAAGGTTTGATTATTAGGGTGATTGATACTATTAAATTTTTGATTGTTAAAGGTCGACAGGTTGGGGAGATAAAGGGAAGTTGTGTGTTGTATCTCGAGTAATGAGTATTATCATTTACAATTTTTTATAAAACCAGTGCTACTGTGACCAGTATGTTGGCACTGTGACAGCTACATCATCAATGCCAAAATCTGGGCTGATATCATTGGTGATTTAGGCACACAGCAACCTTCCAACTAATTATCATGAACGAGCCCGGGATGGAGGAGGGAGTTGAGAAACAGTGCACTGGAAATAATGTACTCCACTACGCATCTAACCATAAAACAACAAATATTTATTTTCAAGAGACTAAAAATTACAAAGAAAAATAGACATAGAGGGAGAGCCTAAACCTTTATAGCACCTATTGGAGAGAGAGTGTTTACAGCTGTGTACACAGATCGATAAATACCTGGATTTTGATGTTGGATGTCTGGAAAAGCGGAAGGTTTGGGTACGATGAGTATTAAATAGTCTGCAATAGTTAGTTTGGACTGGCCAAAGTCTAATAAAAATGGCAGGATATCAAGATCGGTGGTGGAGCCCAGCAGAATGAGCACACACTTCAAAATGGGCAGGCAAACTTCCTCTTGACTATCCTTCCCCTTTATTTTTATTTGGGGTTATGTAGGTATTATATTTGGTAAGGTCATGCATGGAGTTGGTGGTTAGTCCAATCTCTGATTTTCTTGTGAGACTTCTTTCAATGAGTAGTTTTTATCAGAATGAGTCACTCACAAAGGAAGGCTTTTCATTGGGAAAATCTTACGAATTTCCTCCATTGAATTTATTAATTTCGGCTTAAATATAATTTTATTTTTTTCTTCAACAAAAATTAAATAATTAGGATAATCAAAATTTCAAAACTATTAGCCCGGATTCTCACACAACCTTCAAAATTAAACTTTTTGCTGGATTTTTTTCAATGGGGAAATGTAAAAATAATTATGCTAATATTTAATAGTATAAGTTATTTATTTTCTAGTTTTGTTGTTAATATATTAATTTAATAAATTATTTTAAAATGTATTTGTTTTTTTTTTTAGCCGAACTTTTTCAGCAACTTTCCAAGGCTCTAGAAATACTTACAGATGGTTCTGCGAGGGTAAGTTTTCATTTAAGTTATTATATTATATAATATAAATCTTAGAGATTTTATTATTAATTATTTTGTATTAAACAAAAATAAAATCACAGTACATAATGATTTTTAACATGTCAAGGCTGCATATGATAATGTTATAAGAGCCAAGAAGGCTGCAGAAGAAAGAAACAAACAACTTGATAGTAAAAGAAAGAAATTTAAAGACGGTGAGTTGTGAAATGCAGTGATATTTAAATTAAGTTTAAAAATTATAACAAGGATCAAGTAAAGATTCTTATTTATGTTTGTCTAAAATTTTATTTACTTATTCTTGACATTGAATGCTTGTTTGAAATGAGAAGTAACAATTTAATGTATTATTCTTCTTTCCAGATCTTGAAGAGAGAGAGAAAGCAGCACTAAATTCCAAGTTAAATGACATTTCTGCTGCAGAAAAACTTCGAGCAGAGGTAAAGTTAACCTCTACCGATTGCCTATATTCTCATATGTTTGTATTTAACTCATATATAGCAGAAACATGGTACTAGTGCAATATTTTTGTGTAAACCATTGTGTATGTATGTATGTGTGTGTGTGTGTATGCAGCCTTATCATTAACATCTTACATATATGTGACAATGTGCAAAGGGCTCCCTATTCTTCAGCATTACTTGACCAAAGGGTCAACATTGCATCAGTAATGACTATGATGACAAATTGTCGGGACTAACACCACTGTGTCTTTCAGATAGACACAGAAACCGTTATTTTCATTTTTTGTGAGTGTTTGTGTGTGTAGGTGCTTGGGCCCGGGATGGAGATGGTCTGAGACAACTGAAAGAAGTGCACGCTACTACAAATTTAACAATTAACAATACCCGTTTATTTACACATACTTTTTACAAATGTATATAGAAAATTGGTTAAGATGCTCAGTTGTTGCTAATTATGTCAATATAAAACATGTAGGGGAAAACGTAACCCATAATGTTAAGATTGCTGGTCTCTGACCATGAGAGAGTGAGTTTACAATCATTTGTGTGCTGGTAAATACCTTAGTAGAAGTTGGTTCATTTTCAGAATCACAGAATTGGCAGATCGATGTACTCCTGGACCACCTTGTGGACCAGGAGTACATCGATCTGCCAATGAAAGAAGCTTTGATGAATTGAAAAGGATGGAAGTCCCTTGATGTCTTGAGAAGGGCAGAGATGGGTGACAGCTACTTAAGCGGTATCCAAAAGGGATCGGGTGAGAACACCAGTCTAAAGAGGACAAACTATCAATGACAGAAAACTCTCTGTCGCATCATTGGACCCATCCTTTTGTTCTAAGGGTCCTCCCCTCACTGCTCTTGCCATTTTGTGATACTATTTAATTCTGTGGTCCAATGGCAATTTTTCCGTTGGTTCCTGATGACACATTCAATGTGTCACCTTAAACAAGGAAGCAACTTTGTGGGAAAAGTTATAATCATATTCTTTGATATTTTTTCTTTCAAAAATATTTTTTTCGTCAAGTCTGGGCTCACACATATATATGTAGGGTGTTAACGATAAGGCTGTAACCATGCATATGCAAATAGCAAGTAAGAAGTTTGTAGCAAATTCACTCTTACAAAGGAAAACTGGCATGAGCAAGAAAGAGAATTAATGTCATTTGCAGAATGGAAGATCTTGCTCTCAGAGATTTGATTTTCATTACAGTTTGAAGTTTTTTCTTTATACTATGTTTGTGCATTAGTTCCTTACCTTGATTTTTGTGTTTGGTGATTTCAAATGTAGGTTCTTTGGCATATTTGGGTGAGAAGAAACACAATCAGTTTTCTTAGAAATTAATTAATTTGGTTACAGGTTATTCCAAAGTGTGGCATAAGCAATTAAAAAATTATTGAAATAGAGTTAGTAAATGATGTTGTGAATTCACTTTTTTCTACACACTCAAACAAAAAGGAAAAATTTACTCTACTACATAACAATAGTAGTGAGAGCGAGAAATGTTATTATCTGATGTCATTGTGTTTTCTCACTTGCTAACAGCTTGGGCTACAAAATTTGCTTGCCCACATTTTTATGGCTTTAGCCAAAGGTTGGCCAATCTTTGGGAGGTATAGAACATCAAAAATTAAGTGTAATTATGAAAAACTTGCTACATAAATTTTTTAATATCTCAGAAACAATAGGAGATATTTAGTTGAAAGTTTCTATAGTTTTCTCTACAGGAAGTCTGCATAAAGATTTTTATGCATAACTTTAACCATGGGTGGAGATGTGGCACATTTCTGTACAAAATATGTCTTTTAATCTACATCAAATTTAGCATACTTGTATTTTATTCTTTTTGTTATGTTATATGTAATTTTGAGGATTTCATACAATATAAATAATTTATATAAAATAATGTACATAAATATATATCCTCATGCTCATAATCCAAAAAGGATGAGCAGCAGGCAGAAGAAGACTACAATTTGAAAATCATCTATTCAACAACTTCCTCCACACATTCCTGTTCATACACATTTCTTGCCTCTTTTATCACATTTCCTCACATTCTTTTTATGACTCAACACCTTACACTCTTTCAGATACTCATCCAACTGTTCCAATCAAGACTTTCTCAGCCTTCCCCTACCACATTTCCCATGTCTACTTTCTTCAACAGATCTTCTTTCATTCTCTCAACATGGCCAAACCATTGTACAGCCAATTTATTCAGTTTTTGAACCATATTCCTTTACTTCATACACACTTCTCTCAAATACCTCACCTCACATGCAGTAATGTGACTCGTGTGACTCTTCTGCCATCTCCAAGATTTACTATCATGCATGAGCACAGGCACCATAATAACAGTCCATACACAGCCATTCATGCCTCTTTGGATATGCTTTTACCAGTTTATAAGTTTACAAAATGCACATATTTTATCATAAGCACATACAAATCAAATTTGTGGTTATGGAAATTTAATCATATTAAGCATTTGGGAATAATTATTAATATTTTCTGTTTGGATGTTAACACTCATGTAAAGTAGAGAGGAACTAATATGACCACAAAAAATTATTTTTTACTGTTGAAACATCATCTTACATTAAATTTGTATCAACCTTTGCACGTTAGATCATAATGTAAATGAAATGCATTAATTCTGCTATTTAATTTATATTATTTAAATCAGATTAAATTTGTGAAATAAATTAATTATAATTTATTAAATTACATTTGGAGCTAATTTAGAGAACTTTTTATGAATTAAAGATTGAACGACTTCGAAAAGAAGGATCCAAACAATTGGAAGAAGAAAGAGAAAAGTTAAGGAAAGAAATAGAAAAAGAGTGCAATTTAAGTAAATATATATTTTTTAATTCATTAAAATCCCATTTTTTAATAGTTTTCAATATCTAAAAGTCAGATTATTTTTGGGCCAAATAGAAATAATTTAATTAATTATATTACAAATTTTGGATTAAAGATCAGAAATTTGGTTGCTGTCTGGCCTTAAGATTAATAATTCTAAATTAATTTAGATTTAATTAAGTAATTTTGAAGGTTCCCTACAAAAATATTGACCTAAAAAGAGGTTTGAACCTTATGCTGTACACTTCCTGCACTTCTTCGTGTAATTTTACAAGTTAATTGCCAGCACCTTGGGAATTCTAATTTATTTTACCATCTTTCACCATTAATTCCTAGTTATTTAAATGCTGGCTTAATTACTTGTCTATAAGTCAAATTTAATAAATTAAATTAACTTAAATTCTTGTTTGAAAATATCTTGACTTTTAGATACATGTTTAGTTTATTACTTTTATATTTAATCAAATATATATATATATATATATAAATTTTAAACTCATTTTATATACAGCAAAACCTGAGTTTAAAGAACAACATTTTCCAGTCCTGGTATAGTAATCAGACTATTTTACCTTGATTAAGTAGACACTGCCTTTCACAAACAATGAAGAGTTTTCTACTCTCCTAAATCTGTTTTAAGCAGACAGTACAATGGATTGTATGTTTCCACAAGAATCATTTAAAAAATACCATTCTTATATTCAATACCATCATTTTTTAGGATTTTTTTGAGTCTTTAGATAGTGTCCTTGTTTTCAGGAACTGCAGTTCAGAATTCAGACCAGATGTAGATTTTTCTAATTATGATAGATACACTTTATTGTGTTACTTAGGAGACTTGTTGGAAATAGTCATTATTTCAGATTTTTCATTTGGAAAGGAGGATTTTGATCCATTCTAATGCAGTTCCGATCATTTACAGGGTTATATTGATAGTAAAATACCATTACACTTATGAGAGAATGGCCAGTATTTCCTCTATTGGTCATTATATCTTGAGGAGATGGTAAATTGAGTTTCTATGAGTCTATTATATTAAACTTTGTATGAGATGTCATCTAATTGCTAAGTAATGTTAATTTATTATTGCACAAAAGTAACCTGTAGTTTTGCATTGATACTTGTCTAAGTGGATAGTTTCTTCTCCCAAGTATGTTTACTAAACTCACATTTTACTTTATATATGAAGTAGCATTCAAAATTTCAGGACTGGGTCTATAAGGTCAGAAATTGTTAGAGTTAGAATGCTGAAATATCTTCTCCTTTAAAATAAGCCCTCTCATACCAACACACTTTGCTAGCAGGTGTAGAGATCATGGAAACACTTCTGGAACCCTTTCTTTGCAATGTCCTTCAGTTCAACCAGCATTGCATTCTTTGCTTTTTCTGCACTTGAAAACCTACAATCCTGAAATTGATGTGACAGCTCAAGAAGCAGGTGGTACTATAACGACAACCTTTAAAATGTTTTCATCAGTATGAGCTGTCATCAATTGATCACTACGTTTGTTATCTTCAACCTCTTCTATGCCCTACTCAAATTGTTGACAACTGAAGATTTTTGATCGTGATGGTGTGGCAATAACACCATCATGATCAGAAATCTTCATCTTGGTATATCTGATTCATCAAGTTGTAGGTTTCTGTCGGACTTTTGAACAAACACAAAACTTAATATTAACATGCCAATCTATAAACATTATATTTCACTAATTGCTGAGCAATCTAAACAGGTCACATAATCGCTGCAGCATATATGAGTATTATGAACAAGGTTTGTGTCTTAACGTAAACCAAGAATCATTGTGATTACCTATTGACTCATTAAGTGCTGCTGATTCCTATATTAACTCATTATTATTATTTAAATAAATTAGGTGCTGCAGTAATGCTTCTTACAACAGATTATATAACTTTCTGCTATGAAAATTCTCTAAATAAATGATAAAGAAACATTAAAGCAACAATCTGTGCCTGCAAAGAATTATTTTTGCAAAGTTTGTAATGGAAGATGATTTTTCAGAGTAATAAAAAGAGTTGTCTTAAATGAAAAATTATCGAACGAAAGACTTTGAGATATTTGGGTGCTTATAAGCAAAACAGATTGAGTTATTTTGTAATTTCTGTTCGTACAACTATGAAAATAATCAAACTTTAACATTATAAAGTAAAGGTAACTAAATAAAAGCCTATGAACTTTTATTTAGTTACTTATCTATTTAGTTTAAAATATTATCTCTCAGTCTGTAAAAATATATACACACAATTGCTTCTTGCAATGTGTAGAATGGCGGTTACAAGCTGGAAGACTGGTGTGTTGTCATATACTACTATATGTGTATCCCCTTCTAATTTTATTACCTGACATTTATTTACACTCCTCAACACCATTTTAATCACATTAAAAATTACATGTTAGTTAAATTTAATATCTGTAATATTACCTTTGTATTAATTATGTATGTAATGCCATAAGTTGCTTTTCTGTAGTCATTAAATTTGTACTTTTTTGAATTTCTTGTCACAACTGTTTCAGTCCATCTCTCCTGCTCATTTACTTTATCCTATGTTCTTTGTATCTGAACTGTCCCTTGAGACATTTCTCCCATCTTGGCACCAGTTTTGATATGATTTGTTCATAAAAATCTATTTTCAGTGTATATAGTCAACTGTGCATGACCAATTTCATTTCATTTTCTGACTGAAAATGTTGTTTGTCTGGGAATATTTTCGTGGGACCAAATGGATGAAAGTTTGAAAGGTGGTCCCCCCAACTGTAAGATACTGGAGCACTTCTCAGCCAAATTTGTGCAATTTTAGTATGAATGGCAACTACAACATGGAGATGAGCATTCTTGCAAAACAGTCTGACATTTGCAGCATCTCTGTTTGGACATTTGTCATGAAAGGAACAATGCAACTTTATTGATGCATTAGTATGAGAATGTCAATTCATGGTAGTCCTAGTTAGTTGAAATGTTCCTTCAAAGTGATGAATACTTGCAATCTCCCATCTCTGTTGAAGGAAGAAAGTTGTCTAAGGGCCCAAAATGAATGTGGTCATTAATCATGGTGTGTATAGTACCTGAAGAAAGATGTGTCTGTGCTGCAACTTTACTAATTATTATCCATAGATTATCAAAGATTGGGTGCTTTATGAATTGAATGTTCAGAGGAATAACTGATGTTGACGGCTAACCCGTGACCAGGATCATGGTGGTTTAACATCATGGGTTCATCATTCAGATGTTTTACTATAGCTTAGTATCATGTATCCATACTGTTCTTGAAACTGTTTACAGATCTCTGCCAGTTTAATACCTTTGACAAGGAATTTTATCCACAATGCATTGATTATGCTGGTTGCCATTTTGAATATCTTGCACCAGACAGTAATGAGACATGTGCCATCTACTGCTAAAATAATACATATAACACATGCTGCTTCAGTGAATTGATGCATTTACATTGCATTTTTTGCAAGCAATTTGACTCAAATTTCCTTGTATAATGAACTAATTCATTCATTTACGTTACACAAAACAAAGACATTAATTTTTAATCATAAAATTTTTGTTTCAGGGAAGAGTAACGAGGCTGAACTTCCACGAATAAAGGTAATGTTTCAATTTAAAAATTTCTTAGAAAATGTTAATTAAAAAACCTTTAGTAATCATTTTAACAAAAAAGTTTCTTCTTTAGGTAAAATGGAAGAGTAAGAAGTCTGACGAGAATAATGGAGGGTATAACTATGAGAACATGGTTGAAATTTTCGGAAAGGTGATTATTAATTGTTCTTACATTTATCTTCAACATTGTAATTTTGATAATAAGAATATTTGGTTATTAAGTAATGTCTCTTCAATCCGAAAAATCTTTCGGTAGACTACCTCACAGCCAATTCAGGTTATAAAACTCCTTTTATTGCTTTTTTACAGATGCATTTCGAGCCAGGTTAACTTTCTAGCTCCTCTTCAGTGCTTGGTCAGAGTCTCCATAGGTTACAATGGCTTAATTTCACACTTATATGGTACTATTATTAATTAATTAATTAAGTAAGTAACTTCTCTTCAATCTGAAAAAGCCATTAAGCCATTGTAACCTATGGAGACTCTTAAGCACTGAAGAGGAGCTAGAAAGTTAACCTAGCTCAAAATGCATCTGTAAAAAAGCAATAAAAGGAGTTTTATAACCTGAATTGGCTGTGAGGTAGTCTACTGGAAGTTTTTTTCAGATTGAAGAGACATTACTTAAGAAACATATAAACAGCTACCATTATAAAATTCAGAAAACAATATTTGGTTGTTGGTAAGTGAATAGAATTTATTACCCATTGCTATAATGGTAAGATTTGATTTTTATTTTTTTGTTTTTACTTCTTCCACCCTGTGGGCAGTAAGAGGGACTTTTTATCAAGTTGTTGTTTTAAAGGTTTGAGACCAGGGACAGTTGTGAATGTATCTGGAACAGATTACCTCCAAAAAATTCCCAAGGGTTTATCCTGACCTTTCCAGATTTGATCCAGATCCTTCTAGCAGTTGGCCAATGTCTTAACTGCTTGGTCATCTGACCATGAACCAAATGTTGCACTTATTTGAAAAAATGAATTGTTCTTCATTCTTCAGAAAGGTGTGCACCCAGTTTCTTTACAGTTTTCCTAGCATTAAGGTTTGATGTCTGTAAAATTACAAAAGAAATGGGTACACACCCTTTTTGAGAATGAAAAACAAGGGTACAAACATTTTGGCCTCTTAACTCTTTTAAGACATTTGAATACAGTATTAAGTTTTTGTTATTTTAAAATATTTACAATTGGTTAATGATAAAGGAATTCATAAATAATCATTACAAAATATTTTCCTCAAGTGTGATGTTTCTCTTCTAAAATAAATAACAACACAATTTATGAGATAAAAAAATAATTTTAATGGTAAAACTGAAGATTTTACATCATTACTGTTGTTATTTGTGTGCAAAAAGGTATGAAATTTCATATCCTGTTATATATGGAAAAAATTTAACTCGTTTTCAATCTGTCCCAATCAACTTCCCCAAATGATTCTGAAATTCTGCAAAATACTTTCTTAACCACTAGCATAGTAGCAAACATTAAGACATCTAATTACAGTCGACCCCCCCCTATAACAAGGGTTCATATAATGCGGATTTGTATATCGCGGCAAAAAATTGTGACCATATTTGTATAAAGACGCTAAAAGAGACTCGTAAAATGCAGTAAAACATCATTGCCGACTCGTGTTGCGACACGATTGGTCGAATCTGGACCAATAGTGGACAAGCAGCCAAACTACTTACAGGCTATGGAGAGTTTAGGCGGGTAAGTTGAGTTTACTATCGTCTGTACAGTATATAAATTAGGTACTGTAAGTCTAATACAGTACTGTAATTTTATACATTTCTTATTCAACGGCCATAAAAAATTATTTCTATTAATGATGTCTCCAAAGTTTAACAAATTTTTCACAGAAAAATAACTTATTAGAAAACACGCCTGCCATTTGGTGCACTGCTCCGCGATGAAAACAAGCTTAAGCAATGGCGTCGTCGAACAGTGCACACTCAGTAAGTAATCCTACAATTTTTTGTTTATAGCATAGTTTATATGGATTATTCCCAAAAAATTATATGTGTTTTGGAAATATTGAGTCTAATTAGTCTAGAATCAATTAATTTTATGGAAGAAAACCTTTCAAACAGCCATAGTCCATAAACTACAAACTTGCCGGACTGTGATTGGCTCATGTATTTAAGGATTCCTACAATGTGAAATTCTTATAAAGTGGAACGTATCTACCGAATTATAGGGGGGGTTGACTGTACCTTACTAATAAACCCTTAATGAGGTTGTTAAGCAATAAGTTTGTAAGTAGTAACACAATAAATAAGTTTACTTAAATATCCATGAGGAATTTTTTATAAACTGTGTTGAATCATCATATTTACACAGGGTTCCACATACTCTGACAATTACATAATGAGATTGAGGTTACAGAACAAAAGTGAAACTAAAGGTTCGAGTATAACCTGTATTTTATTCAAAATTTGTGCTTCCTACTCCAATACAGCAAGTAGCATGATCTTGCAAAGATTGGAATGACCTCTGCATGTCATCTTGTGACATGGCCTGAAGACTCGATGTAATATGTCTTTGGATGTCTTCAACATCTGCAAAGAGTCAACCTTTCAATGGCAAATTCAGTTTGGGAAGTTTATTCTCTGCAGCAATTGAATTTGAGAAATTTTTATTTCTTCAAGTTGTTTGAAAGATGTCTTTTGTTTACTGAACATAATGCAAACTGGGAAAAGACCTTCTTGCTCAAGTCTTTCATTAAGATTTGACAAATTGTTTCTTTGCTAACACTAAACTCATCTGCCATCATTATCACAGTCACACATTGATCTTGTACTTATTCTATAAATTTTGCAATGAGTTCCTCATTACAAACAAAAATTGTATGCCTGGTCCTGGCTTCATCTTCAGTCATTTCCATACTACTTTTGAACTCCACTTATCATCTGATATCTGTGCACAAGATAAACAATTATCTCTATATTCAGTAGAATCTTGTTTTAATTGATTGCTCGGGCCACTGAAAATCATCTATTGTTTCAAGAATCTGTTATTTTGAGAACGGATTTCTCACATACCCAGCAAAATATCCGTTATTTAACTTTCTACATGTAAAAAATATCTGTGCTTGAAATTATTCAGTCTCTTGAGGTCTCTATTCTTTATTCTATAGAAATATGATGTTACAAGATTGTATATTATGCTGTACATATGTACGTTAAAGCTGACAGAAACTGTATATACTCTAAGCACAAAAAAGAGATAAATTATGCATGCTCATTAGCACTTCACTTGACTTTACAATTTGTTAGAAAACTCATCCGTCTTGGTTTGTTTTGATACTGCTTTTCTGCCTATTGAATACATCAACCAGCAATGTTATGTACTGTACACTTGTTCGTTAATGCTGATACTTGTTAGACAGATCTTCACAACTTGGAAAGACTTGATGGCTTCGCTAAATTTCGGCACTACACTTGGACACCAGTCCAAGTGTAGTGCCGAAATTTAGTGAAGCCATTGAGTCTAGGTGACTCCTTTTCAATTGTATCAGCCTCTGACTCCCTTTGTACAATTCTTTAATTATCCATATCCCAGATTTAGGCTAACAGGTTCATCATCAAACTCTATAAATTCCCAGAAACACCCAAATATTAACTAAACTTTGAAAAACATGAAGTTTACAATAGACGGGCTAGAAAAAAATTCATTATTCAGAATTACAGATCCACTAAAAGGAGGTAAAATTACATTGATCTAGCTGGACCTGGGGAAAAAATACGTTGTTCCGTGATCCATTAAAATGAAATTCTACTGTACTTATCTCATCAATTCCATAATTTCAGCTGCACTTTTCCTGAGCTTAAAATGGAACTTAATATTTGGTCTCTGCTCCATTCCACTAATAACATTCTTTCATTTCCTATAAAATATGGCATCATATTCTTGTTACGATGCATGGGATGTTGCAGTGTTGTCAGATTACAGATGAAGGTTGACATTATGGATGACATACGTTACTTCATAGATGACACTTTTACCTTAGTCAAAATAAAATCTGTCTCATTATATAATTGATGGACTGTGTATGTCTGGAACCATGGGAATTAGGCTGATCATTGTTCATACTTTTACAGGTAAAGTATGGTGCCGAGTGAGGAGGAATAAACTTAAGTTATGTTGATGGTGGGGCACTCATAATTGGCAAGAAGTTGCTGAAGTGCTTAATAAGCTGCATTTAACTTCTACTAATCACACACACAGCAGCCTTATTAACTGAGATTGCTTTTTTTAAGGGGAGTGCTATCATTTGCATTTCTTTTTAGTTTCAGTTTTATTAGTTTATTTATTATTAATTATTCTGTAGGGCAAAACTATGAAGAATTATATAATTTATGGCATCCTCTTCTATTGCTAGGCAACTCTCTACCATTAATTCTTCATGGACATTATTTATGCAAAAAAAAATGCCTTATTTGAATAATTTCACTCTTTCTTTTGCTCTAAATTCCATTTAATCTACCATCGAAACATGATCAAGCATGCACTTACCCTAAATTTTCATTTGGAACTCTTACTCTCAATATTTGCAGTTACACACTGCAAATGCTATAAATGCTGCATTGTAGTTTTGTTCATGCATTAATGCATTGCATGACATTGTTGTCACATAATGGCTAGTCATTATAATGCCTAGGAAGTTTTCAGTTCCACTGTAATCTTACAGGACCTCTGTTATCGTGTGGCACATACCCATATTAAATTAATTAACATGGGTTTTCTGAAAAATGAGAGGATTTCATGAAGTTATTTGAAACATTTATCATTATGCTCCATAAGTTCTTGTATTACATTGTTCTGAGTATCTACTGATTGTAATCATTATCTTAGATTTTGTACAGCATTAATATTAATACATTTCTGTGTGTATGCATTAACAATGCAACACACTAAGGAAAATTCTATATGTTTGAATGAGAAGTCTGGCAACTGGCATAATAAAAACAAATGAAATAATTGCTGGGGTTGATTGGAGCCTAGGTAAAAAGCAAATGGAGTATAGTCCCACCTTTCTTTGGAGGCCATTTTTTGATGACTAGCCAATACCGTCCTATAATTGTGCATTCTTGTCAAGAAATGAGGTACAGGGAAGCAGTGAAGATAACATTTTGAAAGAAAATGATTAAAAATGTGGTTAATAAAAGGGCACCATTTAGCAATCAATGCTAAATCCAAACAAAGGAGGAGAGTGCAGGAGTTATACAAAAAATTTGGGAAATGCTATAAATGCTACAATATGTGTATATTTATAAAGAAAAAATAAATAGCAGCATTTAACAGTTTTTGAAAATATTGTAAATAATAATTTTACCTGTTATTGACATTAAGTCTGATCCCAATTGAGATGATACGCGAACCCTTCTCTCTCTCTAAATGCTAAAGTTCTGTACCCAAAGTTTTAATAGTATGAATGCCCCTTATACACACATTATTGTGCCAAATATTGTTTCTTAATCTTTACCCCATCCTGAGGTATTATACAAAATGAATGCCAACATGCATAAACATGCACATATCCAGGGAGTTTTTTGATTGGTCTTTTACTTTCTTTGGGTTCAGAGGTCTCAAAACATTGAGATTTGCAAAAAACACCCAGTGTCAAATTTAACACAATTACAATACTTTGTCATGTTACAGTATAACAGCCAGAAAGATGAAAGCAGTGATTGTACTACTATTATTTTAATGAATAAACAATTTAATTTGTGGGTAATTTATAACTCTTCTTCTATTTATAAATTTATAAATCTTCTATTTATTTAAAAAAATTATTTAAGTTTTCACTTTAGTTTTAATCTAATATTTAAAGTGTTGTAAGGTGTTATCTCCTGTCTCGTGACTAATGTAATCCAAATTCTTTATCTTATCTTCATTTACAAATTTTAGCTATGAGTAATTGTTGAAGTAAATTCAGTATTTCAAATATTATACATATTATTACTTTTTTGTTGTAAAACTTCTTTGTATTGTTCAATTTATAATAAATGTCTGACTATTACTTGATATACTCTCTTGTAACATCAACAATTCAATGAGCTCGGATTGTTTTTGATGCTTCTGTAAAAAGCAAAAGCCTGGCAATAGAACTTAGTAGCAAGATATGGTTTGACACATCTGGAACAGACCTGGGTGATCAAAAAATCTCTGGGATTTTTTAATCAACCAGGTCTGCAGAGAGGTAGGCCAACACCTTAACAACTTTGGTTAGCAAAATAAACATTTAATGATATTTACAACTAGTACACTCATTTTACAGAGGAGATTGTATCACTTTATAGTAGACTTATACTGGGTGCGTAGTAAAGTCCTTATATATCTAAAAAATACAGACTGCTATTAGCTGTGAATGTGACCTTTAGTAAAGTGACTATGTACTACAAGATATGACAAAATTTGGAAGTCATCTCAAAAATATTAAGTTCCATTTTAAGCTCAGGAAAAGTGCAGCTTGAAACTATGGAATCGATGAGATAAGTACAGTAGAATTTCATTTTAATGGGTCACGGAACAATGGATTTTTTTCCCAGGTCCATCTTATCTCGAAAATGATGCATGATACTGAAAAAACTTTATTTCAAAGTTGTAGAGTGCAACTGATTTAGTATGAAAGGACACCCTGATTATGCAAATAATGTCAATAGAAATATTGAAATGTGAATGAACACATACATTAAAATGTGTATTTTTTGTGTATTTATTTATAACCTGTGTATTTCTCATGTCATTATATTGCATTCATTACTCTCTGTTGTATGTTATACATTCTCTCATATCAGTGTATAAGAACTGTACCATGCTCTCTGTGTATGTGCAGTGAGCAGCTAGCCTGCTTGCACCTTTTGATAGCTTATTACCCAATTCTTACGTGATAAAAGTTATCAGAAGCAGAGAAATAGGCCATTAAAGTTAATATAAAATTAGTGTACTGAACTAACTTCTCAGCGTGTTCTAGTGAGAAGCAAGCATCATTTAATCTTCTTTTTGTTTGAGCCAAAAGTGATGTTTTTGTCCTTTAAAGTTCACCTACAAGTTGAGTCTTGCTCTGAAAATGATCCCACAAATGCACTACTTGGATGGCCCTAATCTTGATTACTCGAGTAATTCCCAGTCATTCTGAAGCTAAGAGAAAGTCGACTGATTGAACCCAAGAGTTCTTTCTTTTGCTGGCTGAGCTTGATGCCAGCAAAAGAAACAGCTCTTGTGGTATTATTCTTAGTGACAAAGTGCTATCTGTTAAGGTTTCTATCTACTGGAACTTTCTGATAGGTAAATAATGTAAGGAAATCAATTTAGGGTGGAGCTTATTTTCACAATTTGTAAATGTGAACCTCCTACCCTCTATTTTCATTCCAATATATACATATAGAAAACATTTGTGCCAAAAATCTACTCCATTGGTGAATATTTACTGGTAGCTCAATGTCACTGAAGTTTTATAGGTTCCAAATAGTAAGGATGAACATATGGCAATCACAAACTTCAGCCACAATGTATTCATTTTAGTACAACAATTTGTAAAACTGCAGTTGGTCATCTCAATAAATAAACCATTAAATTAATCACACATTAGTTACATGACATTCCCACAAAATTAATTTCTGTCATGACTCGTATCTTTATTTTGCTGACATCATCAAGTCTTGCTGCAAATGTTTTTCCCTGTTTCTAATTGAGGCTGACTCAGTGACTCATACTGCTTACATCAGCACCTATTGGCTATTTGGCTTGTATGGACAAGTTCAAGCATGTTGCTGAAGGACTGCTGATATCATCAGATGCATAGACTATATAATCCAGAAATTGCTCAAGCAAATCATGTAATACATTTTTGTTCATTTCGGCAAAGTTATTAAATAATAAATATGGCGGCGGCAGCAACTAGATCTAAAACTGAAGTGTACCTCATTGGTTCAACAGTAACTGAATTAACTGGCAACAAGTTGCCGTCCTTATGTCAGGCTCTTGGTTTGTTTTTACATCACCATCTTCAACTGAAACAAACTATCAGACAGTCATCAGCTGTTACAGTCAAAAAGCTGGCAATATTTTATGAAATGGCAAGGATCCTAATGATGGATCCAAGAAACTGCATAACTAAACTAGAACAAACATTTGAAGAATGGCGTTTACTAAAGTAAAAACAAGGGTCGAATCAGCACAAAGACAGGAAAAGATGCTTAATGGAAAATGTAGAATGGAAGACTTGAAGAGAAGTGGTGAAGAAATATCAATAGTAGAACTAATAACCTCAAAGCAACAGCACAGATACTGAAGAAGATGCAAGCTGTAAGGGAGACAGAGTACTGTATTTTGACGAGTATAAGTCACTGTAAAGTATAAGACACATCCCTATTTTGAGACAAAAAATTTAGAAAAAAACTTTTTTAATGGGATTGTCTAAAGGTGCCTTTTATTCGTTTTTTTATTCAAGAATATGACGGATGGATGAATTGATACCTTTATTAAACTGAAATAATATCATTTCTTAATGTAAATTCAGAGGTCATGTGATGACAGTCAACAGAACATGGCGGTGATGACTCGTGTGTCACTACTCTGATAATCTAGGTACTCTAGCCATTCGGTTGAGGGACCATCTGCTTAACGGACCACTGCACAGGTTGGTCCCTAGAGTGGACCACTACTGTAGATAATTTCACTGTAAAAATGGTTACATGTCGAGTATAAGAGGCACCATGATTTTGAGCCCTAAAAAGTATAATAGTAAAAAAAGTGCGACTTATACTCATCAAAATACGGTAACTAGTGACGGAGCAGTTGGAGGCAGATTATCCAGACAGCAAGAAAGAGAGACTCTCTGCCTCTACCAAAATAAACTGATAAAGTTACATTGAATGTAATACTGAAATTTTTGTGAATTGTGATGTTTAAAAATTTTTTTCTTGCATTTTGGTTTGTAATCCATCAAGTTTTTGAATATTGTACAGTCTACATGACTGCTTAATTTGTCTGCAATTGTCCAAAAATGTGTAACAGGTCTTGTATGTTTTCATTTGTCACAAATCGCTCTTTTTATAAACTTTGTGGTCATTGAGCTACCTCTAAATATTAATATATCAAGTTCAAATTTCTTCTGTAGTAATTTGAGACCTGTTGGAATAGTTGTGGAGGTAAGGCCACAAAAAAGTAAGTGATTTATTTTTTCCCTACCTTAAGCACCACCGTAATGAGGATACAAGTGCAAACAATACACACTAGCAAATTATTATTTGCAGAATTATTCATAAATCATATGCTTAAGAATGTACAAGCTAATATATTAATTTCAAAACTTTATTTTCAGTACGGTGATGTCACCTGTGTTATGTCGAGTAAGAAAGGAAGTGCTCTGTTAGAATTCTCTAATGCACAGGAAGCGGTAAGCATGCCAAATACTTATAATGATAATGTGTTTTATAATTAATGGTTATGATTTTGATAGCTGAATGCATTTGAGAACGAGAAAGGTCTGGAAGAGAATCCCGTAACTTTGACTTGGATCCAGGGAAAGCCGAAGGAGGCAGACGGGACTCCAACAGAGATGGAGACAAAGACGTCGGACGACGGACAATCTGGAAACGGCGTACTCTCTGACAGAGACTACGAGAGTCTAGTGTTGATGAAACTACGTCGGGCGGAAGAAAGGAAGAGACTCATTCAAGAACTGATGGAAGAAAATGACTGATTAAACTATTTTATGTATATATATATTTATCAAAAAAGTTGATACAAAAATATGCAAAATAAAATTCAAGACAACTATTTTTATCACCCGTTGCGCTCATCTGGTTTGAACAGCGTCCAGATGCAAGTCTGGCCTATTCCGGCCATGGCCACCACCCGGTAGCCCCTCTCAGCCAGCTTGTCAAGCACTTTGCGTGGAGGATCTTCCGTCCGATACTCCGGACTGAAAAGAGAGAGTCGTAAAGGAGTAGTGGCTTTTAAATGCAAGTTAAGACAAATTCAAACATACAAATCGTTTCCCAATTGGATCATCTTCCTTGCGCCAAGATGCTCCATTAATTCCGGGTCGGAATCTTTATCGCCCACAATTGTTGGTCCAATTTCCTAAATTTGGAATGATAAAAAATGTCATTAATTATTGTTAATTCAAAAAAGGGTCTCCGTGTTATAATGATTGATAAAAATGCATTTGATCAATTATTTGATCAAAGAATGATCGATCAATTGATTGATCAAGTGGAATTTGGTACCACGTGATAATTGCTAGAGTGAGAATGGAGTATATAATGGATGATCATGCTGATTTAACATCAATTAATTTAACTAATTAATTTTTATAACAATATTAAGTTACTTACGAGCCGAATTTGAGTGGAAATTAAAACGTACGGCATATTTTTCTTCACTTCAAATCAATTGCAGATGATAATCCACCCAACTTTCATATTTACTTATAGCCGTCGGGTGGCGCTTCTCGGTTTCTATTCGTAGATTTTTTTTTTTTTTAATTTCGGAATTATTTTTAGCTGACACGAATTTCCTAAATATGCTTAATTTAATTTCGTTTTAAAGGAAATCAATATGTCAGCATATTAATCTTGCAAATATAAACACATTTTTATGCTTACACAAATTTATTCGTTATTTTTGAGATGTATTTAGAAATTATTTGTTTATTAGGCGCGGCGATTAAACGCTTCTCTTAAACCCGAGAACCAAAACCTCGTAGAAATCTGAGGAGGTTAGAATCTTGATTCGTGGAATTCGAACCCGTGACCTGACAAATAAAGCAACTTCTAATTAAAGCTTATTATCGGGAAATTACATTTTAATATCTGGTTTATCGTTTCTAAAACGGGAGCTGTTTAGTTAAGGGTGCGATAACGCTAAACTGGCTAATTTTAGAATTTGTCTATCGATGCTATTTTCTGCTTCGAACGATATCTAATGTCAACCGGAAGAAGAAAAATAAATAAAATAGGAAGATTCATGTATTTTAACTAATTCTTCAAAGTCTAAAAGAGTTAAAAATTCATTTTCATTATGGCATTGACTTCCGATATTCTATTAACGAATAGCAAATTACATTATATACTTATGAAGCATACCAAAGCGTCCATATTGTTATCAACAATATTTAAATCTTGTATTTTTAAATGATTCAACACGAATTAATATAATGGTGGAAGTGGCTGGCATGTAAAGAATTATTAGCGTAAAGTGTAAAAATTCACAAATATTAATAATTAAGTTGAAAATGCCAAAATTTTAAATAAACTTTATAAAATTGCACAAAATGATGCCATAATTTTTCAAATTAAATATTTCAGAGGGCGCTGATTTAATTAGAGCACGAAAAATTGGAAAGACGGAAGCGCTTGCGTGTTATTTTTTCCCTCGTTTTATTTTAAAAATCATTTCTTATTTAAAAAATGATATTAACGTTATGAAATGTATTTTATGTATAGATTTGTTATTATTAATTGGAATGGTGTAGAGCGACTTTGATTTCTCCAATACAATTAGTGATGATTAAACAATGAAAATTACTGGAACAAGCCCATTATGAGTTCGGCCAAGTCCACAATGAGGCGGCTGAGTGGTGAGAGACGGGGCCCGACATATCCGACCAACCCCGAAAAATTCCTGAGGATTTTTCGACCTCGGGTTTCCAGAGCGGCAGGCTGCCACCTTAACCTCTGTGCCATCCGGCCATATTAATAACGTAATTAGATATGACGCTTCGCTCTATTCTCCGATTTTCAAATAGCTTAAATGTGACGTCATTAATAATTTTATTAGTTTAATATTAAAGTTCAAAAACGACATTCAAATTTAAATCCCTAACTATTTAAAAAATAATAAGACCACCTATTAAAACACCCGATTTAAATTAAATTCCGATGACGTAATCGCCGAATTCTTTTTATCTAATTTGCATATACTTTTTATCCATTTTAATTTATTAATAATAACCGTTACGTGTTACGCGATAATAATTAATAATAAATAAGAAACGATAAACAGAAGAATTAATAACAATTTCAAAACTCGATTGAGAAATAGCAGAGGGCGTTAAACATCCGGGTCCTTACTGCAATCCGAACTGCGCTGTTCATTTCGGAGCGAAGAGGTATGGGGTGATGACGTGTTCGTCGTCTTATTCGTTATAATTGCGAAATAATATTTACGTATTAATTCTAAATTTACATATAATGATGGCTTTAGAAATTTCTCACCTAATTTACACGCGAAATAATATAATTCGTTTAATGTTTTATCGCAGGTGCGGTGGAAGTTCGTAGGCAAACTTTCCACCTTCCGATAGTCGCCATCTTGAATCGGGACGAAGAAGAAGTAAATCGTCTGATTTTCTGTTTTTGCAAAATCATCTACGTTCTTCAACGGTCTTATATGACGTCTTTATTTCGTACCATCGGTAAGTTAGGTTTTTCTATCCTTTATTTAAGTGACAAAGCTTAAAACAGCCATTTTTTCTCTTAACATATGCAAGGTTAGGGCCATTTTCTTCCCCCTTCGCCACCTTCAACCTTTATTTTATCTCAAGAATTAATTTTCGCCATTTTATTCACTTGAAAAAAAAAATTTCACCTTAAATTATTGTTTGGTGCTGTTTGAGTGTTTGTGTGGTATTTTATTTAATGTAAATGAATTGTAATTTGATATTTATGCCCTTATATGGATCTTATGGTAGAAGTTGATTTCAGGTAGTTTGTCTGTCTGTACAATGTTACTTGAAGTCAACTCATACCAACTTTGATGTGATTCTTATCTGGGTTTTTATTCTTTTTTAATTTTTGTTTTTCAGCCTAATTTACTGGAAAAATACTTTTTACTAGCTTGTTTTACGATAACCATTGTGATCTGGCAATAAGTGAGACGGATATTTGAACATTTGCACTTTGCAAATAAGGAAATTGTATTTTGCCAGTTTTGTGGGTAAATGAGGGCGAATTGAACTTCGTCCTTGAGATTTTAAAGCGGTTTTCTTTGTTTGTAAAATTTTTTTAAGTTTGAACTATAAAGGAAAATGGCCGATAATTTAAAAAAAAAAAAATACTGTTTATTTAATGTATAATGAACAATGAGAATTAGATAAATTAATGGCAGATAAAAATAGATATATCGTATTAAAGTATGTGATAACTGGTTTGGATTCTATCTGCGTTCTTTCCCGTTTTGCATTAACTGAAATTTGTAAACTTTCTTGCCTTTTTGGATGACAAATTCCTCATTAGATTAACGATTTGTGTGTTTCATTTAAGTTTTATTTAGAAACTTTTAAAAATTTTTAGTCATGTTATAATATTGAGTTAAGACGTACCTCCTTATCTGGTACCAATATGGGTTAGCTTGAAATTGATAATTTGTCGGTTTATCTGGGTTATTTTTCTACAAAATTACTGTTAACAGCATTAAAATTTCTGTATGCCTCCTTAGAATGGCATTGGTGGGTTATAACCTAGAAACTGTTAATGTTAGATGTTTACTAAAATGGAATATAATATGAAGGATGTGTGTTTTAGATTACAGTTAATCTACTCAAGTTCATGAATTTTTTTTTGTAATTAAAAGTATTGATGTTTTATGGTAAACTAAGTCTAAATTAGAAATTTGTCTGTGTAATTAGCCAAGTTATGGCCCGACAACTTTATTCGCTTGAAGTGGAAATTATACTCAATAAAATGGTTTATCCAACATTAATGTCGATCGAATGACGACGATGAATTTGATCTTTGAGCTTTGTATACTTTATAACTTTTTTTAATTGCTTTTGGAATTGCACATTCCGTATTCGGAAGAACATTTATAATACTATTTTGGAATCCTATTTTAAATCATTCTAACTTTAGAAAGTGACGTAATGTGTTCTGTTTCATTTTAATTCATCAAATTTTCATATTAAAATCAATATTTCAACTGAAGTATTGATTTTGCTTTTTTAATCTCTTGTCTAATTTCTGGTTTGGGTCTCTATTTGGCATATGTAAGTAATTTAAGTTAATGTTTTCCTATGTAAAAAAAAACTTGCAGAAAAGTGTAACTTTATTATTGATACTCATTGTTTTGCCTTGTTACATGTATTTTGATGTCGCAATTATAAATTTGTGTGTAATTATTTACTGTACCAAGAAGTTTATTTGCTAAGTAATGATTAGTTAACATCTTTGTTATAAACTTACTTTTAATTGGGATAATTATGCTTTATATTATTAAAGTATGGGAAAAAATACTTCAGGACAGTGCTTTAATGGAGTTTGAGTGAATTTGTCGTTGGCAAGAAGTTCTTCTGAGCTGCTGTGCATATTTAAACCTAGGAACAACCTTGTTAGGAGTATCCTTGGTCTGTAGATGACCAAGAGCTTGAAGGCACTTGCTGCTGATTTAAATTCACTCAAATTCTTTAATGGAGCATGTATATTGTCCGAAATAAATCTTGAGTGTTACAAAGCTTTAACTTCTGAGATGTTCTAGAATGTCTTTTATGTACTTTTAGGGAAAGTGGCTGCTGTTTCTATTGATAAATACTTCATTTGATGAAATTAAAAATGGCCTAGTCAATTTTCTATTACTTTGATTATCTACAATAATTAAAAGTAATACTTATGTGCATATTTAATGCAAACTTTCTACAAGTTATATAAAGTTGGATCTCAAATATCTAATAAAATACATGACAAATACTTTCTATTTTTTCACTCACATGTTCGTATTGGCTACAAAAGGTGGTATTTTTGATATGACTACATTTCACTAATTTAATATGTCGGCACATCCAAGTACTTTACCTGATAATTTTTCGGCGTCTGTTCAGAAAGCTGTTATTTTAACATTTGGCACGATTTCAAGTCTTTTAACACTTAACATTTATGAGAAGCTGCTGTGGTTTCCGCATTTAGTTGATTAATATATTACATATAGTGTTTTGTGTTAAATTTTTGATTTTATTATTAGCTTCTGATAATGCTTGCCTTGCAAGTTTTCTGTTAAATAACAGTTTTGTCAGGTTTTTTTTTGTAGAATTACTATACTGTTTTTAAATTTTATTATTCTTAATTTTTTAATTTTAAAAGTCAGTCAGCAGTTTTTTCACAAAGGTAAACTAAGTAAGTTTTAGTAATCAGAGCTTTGCACGGTATTGATTTCATATTACCTAACCTTGACTTGCACAAACTGTTAAAATTGGTAGTTGAACTCAATTGGAAAAGTTCAATCTCTCGACATTTCCTTTCGAACTTTATTACAGCCTCTTGTGAAGTGTAGTTAATTTATATAATGGAAGAGTGGAATTAATTTTCTATTCTAGTAAAGTGCTTCGGAAATTTTTTAAAGCTATTTCTGGTTGCAATATTTGCACGTCAAAGTGTAGCGTGGCTATAGCAACATAGTGCAAAGCAAATGTAGTTTCTGCCATTAATTTTTAATTTTAGGTCAATTGATTTGAATTTAAAATGCCAATGTTTTGTAGCTGTATGCATAGTGTCAAATATATAGACCACTACTGAAAATTTGGGACTTTAAAGAAAAAATATGGTTAGTTTGATTTGATTTGTTAAGACAGCAGCAAATTTTTAAAATACACATCTAAGAATAAAAGTTTACAGCATAAACATGCCATAAGAAGTAGACAATGCAAGTGATTTACATAATTTCATGCATTAGGATTTTTTCAGGTGTGTGTGTGTGTGAGTAATGTTCAGGATAGCAGTTTTAATGAGCAAAAGCAAAATTTGGAAGCTTTACAAAAAGTTAACAATTGGTTTTCTGTTACAATAAATTTGTCTTGGATAAAGGTTGTTTTGGATGATAAACTTTTATGTAAATCAAACTAAGTACAATTCTGTCAACATTCAGAGTTAAGTTAAAATAGTAGGCTAATATTGCATTAGTTACAAAATATTATTTTTATATTTATTATAATATAAAAAGCAACAATATTTCAGGAATTTTAAGAATTTCAAATATTTGAAAGAACTGACCTTGATTTTTGCTTATTTTTCGGAATTTTTCAAACAAGTTTTTGCTTGACCTTGATGATTCCTGGTTCCTTACTGCCTTGATAAATTTTTTCCCTACTCTGAAATTGTGAGAATGATTTGGTATGCAGGAGATTGTGTTTAATTTAAAGAGGTTAAATTATTTTGTATTGAGGTCATGTATTATTGCCAATGGGTGCTTTTCTTATCTTGTTTCTTTCTAGTTTAAATATCAAAATTTAAACAATTTTCATATACTATTAAATTCTTTGATTAATTTTTTATGAAACTTAAGTGTTCTTTCCAGGCTCTTCTGGATGGATGGTCCTCCACCCAGCCAGAAGAGCCTTTACTAACTCCAGCTAGTTAATTTGGCAAATTGATGTGTCAAAGTAATGATGATAATTATAAGCTGTAAAGCTCTGTTCTGATTTGTAAAAAAAAATGTAGACACAAGTGATAAAATACTGTCCAAAGATCAGAAAATTGAATTAAAGTATTTTGACTCGTAAGCAGAAACCACAAGCTGATGTCACAACATCCTTATTTTCTAATGGCTGTCTATAAATAAATGTCTTGGACATGACTAAGTAAAATATTGATTTGCTTATGAGTAACATTGTTTTAAATATCAAATAGCTTGATTTCCTTTATCAAGATGTTAAATATCAACCGAATTTTGGTCAGATTTTCAACTTCCAGTTATTTTTTTGCTTAGTTTTAGAACTAAAACTACATTTTTGACTGAAACCTAGTTTAGTGAACTCACAAGGAAATGCTAACATACTACTAAATTAAAAAACTAATAGGTAGACATAGATATTTACCTTTCAAAAGATCCACAGATAATTTGGAATCATCATACATACAAAGAAAAGTATAAGTTGATATATAACTGGCAATATCTTTCAACTTGTGACCATCCACACTTACAATGGCCAAAACTAGCATGGTTTAAATATTTGAATTCAAAAATTGATCTTGTGCAAAAGTATCTTAAGTGTTCTTTATAATATGATTGTTAAATTGAAATACATTGCTGTTTAGCTGTTAGCATGCATTATGATGTACTAACAGAAGTGGCACTTGTACCAGACTTCATATATTCACATTTCACTGGTTATTATTATATACAGTTGCTTGGATTTGCTTTGTTTTGAAAAACTGAATTAAGTTTCAGCAGAGCTGCTTGGGCTAGATGATGATTTTAACCTTAGTTTTGTTTTCTTTTTCTATTAATTTTTTAATTTCATTATAAAATTAATTCCACATGATTATGATATTGTTTGATTTTTGCCATTGCTAAATTGTACTACCATCCATTTTTGGATTTTTAATAATTCACTGGTGCCAATAGTTGATGCTATTCTGCATGATCCGGATGTTTTGGCACCATCCATTGGCACTCTTCACTCTAGCACATGAATTATTAGTGTCCACT